TATAACTCGGTATAATAACCTTCAAGGTTAACCTGGTTAAACGTCAAAGACCACTGGTCCATCATTACCCGCTTTGACAATTTCTTCACAGGAAAATAAAGCTGGATAGACTAGAAACCGGTTATTATGGCCGCAGGCAAAACGCCTGAAAACTCAATATAGTGACCTTCAAGGATAAACTTCAAAGATCACTGGTCCATCATTACCCGCTATGACATTTTCTTCACGAGAAAATAAAGCTGGATAGACTAGTAACTGAGTTATTTGGCCATAGGTAAAACTCCTAAACTTCTTTTTATCTTTGGTGTACCAAAGAAAAAGAACTCGGAAATCTTCAGGTAAACAGTCGTGTTGGTAATTTTATATTATGTATAAAAAACAAAATGTAAGTTATAAAAAAAATACAAAAATATAAGAAAACATACCTTCGGTGTTGAAGCTTCCGGTCCGTAGAAAGTTGGAAGAAGTAAATTTTTTGATTTCATGCAAAAGGGGGGGTTTTTGTTATGATGCAGATCACATGAAACTTTTCGGCTCATTTCTATTGGCTCAATTCCCAATAATTTCTGAAGCTTTACGTTCTCTCGAATATAATCTTTGTGCCTATTTAATAAAAATTAAATGCATATATTCTAGAGAGTTTTGAAATAAAATAAAATCAAATTTCGGGATTCACAAAAAATAAAGTTTTTCGGCTTAAGTTTCTACATTACGTTAAAATGAGGCATCATTAGCATCGTTAAAGAGAGATTTGCCTCGTGACTTCCGCCACGAACTCCATTTTATACACAAAAAGACATTTCGAAACTACTTTCCACCTTTTGGACTGTTAAGGTAATGATTTTTCTATAGCTTTCGTTTTAATTATCATCTGAATGTGCAATTAATTAAGAAATCGATTCCAATATAAACAAGAATAAAAAACATTATTATTAATAAGACCTATTATCTAATAACTATTTATTAATAAATTTCTTTAATTTGATAAAATATAAATGTAATAAAAATTTTTTTATTTGTTTAAATAAAGTCTAAACCATTTAAATTGTGTTGAAATTTGTTTAATTAATTAAAATTTAAATAATGTGGTATGATAGTTGTTTCTATATAAATCAGAAATGATAAATAGACTATCCCCGACGGATATTTCCCATTAATTATTTAATGTTAATGAGACAAATGTAAAGAAATATTTTCATCATTAATACAAAGTCCAGTTTTGATTTTCTGTAAATGAATTCTTAAATCTACGCCCATTATGGTAATTTTTATTAGAATGTCTTCTTCATCAGAATTATTTAATAACGCCCTTTGAATTTGTGTAAGGGTGTATCGTCCAAACGCATGATTAACAATATAAAGCTGATTGTTTTCTCCTTCATTGGATTCATGCATTAACCGTATAAACCCCTTCAATCGATAAATATCATTATTCGAAAGGGATTCAAGAAAGGTTTCAAAATAATTTTTTGTAAATGGAGAAGCTAATGAAGACGATTGACGTGTCACTACAACTTGAATTAAATCAATTTCATTTTGATGATGATTTTTGATATTTGGATCGATAAGTTCAGAAAATTTCATTGCCAAATCAAACAATTTTGTATCAATTCCGAATATAAGATCCGGAGAAACACCCTTTTTACCTTCGCATTTGATTTTAGGCGTGTCTGTATTAAGGTCATTAATATGATCGATAACAATATCAAGTTCACGTTCATTCACCTATAAAAAATCAACGATTATACATACGTTAATGGATTTATTATTTCATGTGAACATAAATAAAATATATTCAAATTAAAAATACCAATTCGTGTTTATTAAGTAAAATCACATCAGTATACTGAGCTTGCATCTTAGCCGTGTAACTTGTATCCTCATATCCTCGAAAATTTACACAATCCACCACAGTAATAATGCTATCCAATATGAATCCTTCATTTTTCATTTCACGAATTTGCCATGCAATAGGTGCTGGAAATGCTGATCCACTACATGATGAAATTTAGATTAACATCGACTTAATAGCCTAAAAGAATCACCCAATTTACCTTGTCTCAATAATTACGCGGTCAGGGTTATACTTGTCCTTAAGTTCCATCAAAGCCAATTTCATTTGTCCAACCAAGACACAGCATAAACAGCCATTAAGCATCTCTTGCACCGCAAGGTTACTATCTTGCGCTAATTCGCTATCCACTTTGGGTTATCAGAAAGCTGCTTGAATATATGTATATATATAATGTTTAAGGAAAATTGTTTAATGCGTTTACCTTTTATATCACCGAATTCATTCTTAAGCAAGCAAAGTTTATATCCTTTTGGAACACGTGGCAATAAGGAGAGAATTATCGTAGTTTTACCAGAACCTAGAAACCCTGTAAATACGGTTACAGGAACTGGCAAGTTTGGAGTATGAGAACTAGTTTGCATTTGACACGTTTTTGTTTCTATTTTTGCAGATATTTATAGTAATCCAGTTTAGACGTTACACGACATCTCACTATCACGGAATCGCCTCATTTGGTTTATAGTGTACATGCAATTTATTTTTTTTCTCAAAGTATCTTTATGAATTATTTCAATATTTATTGTAATTCCAAGAAACATTACGATTCAATTTCTCCTCTACTTTATTAAAGAAAAAAGTGGAAGAATTTTACTTTCGTTAAATTTTGACTGCGTGAATATATTTATATTTTAGCATTTCTTCGTTATTTCACAGAATCAACATAATCATGAAAGCTCTCATTCTCGTTGGTGGTAGGTGTTTTGGTCAATTGTTTTATCCTCTAAACGTTCGTACTTTAATTATGGAAACGAATTTGTTAACTTAGGATTTGGTACTCGTCTGAGACCTCTAACTCTTACTCTTCCAAAACCATTGGTGGAATTTTGTAATAAACCAATGATATTACATCAAATAGAGGGACTTGTAAAGGTTTGTAAAATACTTCGATCATTCGTTATTCTTAAGTATGTTAACAATTTTATTCCTTTTTTTATAGGTTGGGGTAACAGATATAGTTTTGGCGGTTAATTATCGGCCCGAGATTATGGTGTCGCTTCTTAAAAAATATGAAGAAAAGTTTAATGTAAAAATCACTTTCTCGGTAGAAACCGAACCTTTAGGGACTGGTTGGTATATTTTAAAATGTCCACTTTTTAACTTTTTTTTAAAAACTTTTCTAAATTATACTTGAATTAATTATTTAGCTGGTCCTCTTGCATTGGCGCGTGATATTCTCGGAAAAGATATCTCACCTTTTTTTGTGTTAAATAGCGATATTATTTGTGAATTTCCATTTGAGCAATTAAGAGATTTTCATAATTCTCATGGAAATGAGGGTACTATAGTTGTATGTATATAGTTTACAGTTATGCGAATGTTGAGGAGTGGGTTGAAAGAGGATAATCGACTCTGATTGAATATGTGAATATCCTCTATTAAATTTCCAATGAATCTTTCTATTTGAATAATAACCTTTCAATTCTCTCTCACCAATTATCAAGGTTACCAAAGTTGAAGAACCTTCGAAGTATGGTGTGATTGTAAACCATCTGGATTCAACATGCATTCAAAGATTTGTTGAGAAACCTGTAGAGTTTGTCAGCAATAAAATCAATGCTGGTATCTATATTTTTAATCCTGCTATTTTAGATCGCATTGAGGTTTGTATAAAAATGATGATTTGACTTTTTACTTGGATCATTTAGATATATACTTTTTTTTTTAAAAAAAAAATTATTCTTTATGGTCAAATTTTATTATAGCTTAAACCGACTTCGATTGAAAAAGAAGTTTTCCCAAAGATGGCGACAGACTCCCAATTACATGCATTCGAACTTGAAGGTTATTGGATGGATGTTGGTCAACCCAAAGATTTTCTGACTGGCACTTGTTTATATCTTTCAAATTTGGCCAAAAAACAACCGAACCTTTTGGCGAATTCTGCTTGTGATTACGTATATGGTGGTAATGTGTTGGTAGATCCTACTGCAAAAATAGGTAAAGATTGTAGGATTGGACCAAATGTTACCATTGGTCCTAACGTTATAATTGGTGATGGGGTAAGGTTACAAAGATGCGTCATATTAGAAGGAGCGCGAGTAAAGGATTTCGCCTGGGTTAAAAATAGCATTGTTGGATGGCATTCAATACTTGGACGTTGGGTATGTTATTTTCATTCATTTTCTTGAAATTATAAAATATAAAATAAAAAGTAATTGTTATATATATATATATATATTTTTTAATAGACTCGTTTAGAGGGCGTTTCAGTTTTAGGTGATGATGTTACTGTTAACGATGAGATTTATGTTAATGGTGGTTGCATCTTACCTCACAAAAGCATTTCCACCAACATTACGGAACCTCAAATAATAATGTAAAATGATTTACACAATGTTTTTTTGTTGAGAATTGGAAAGAGACTTATTTCTCTATTATTTTATTCATTTAATCCTATGTTTGGTCCTTTTTTTTTCATTCATATCTTGAACAATTTGTACGATATCTTACTGTTTAGGATTTAACTGTGTTAATTTACATGAAAAAAAAAAATTATTTATCCTAAAAATTGTATAAAAGGACCAAAATTTGTTATTTATGTATCTTAATTTTCTTACTTGTATTTGTGATTTCTAGTTTATGTGAACAAATGAGTTATTAATTGAATCTTATTAATGAAAATATTAATTAAAATAATAATAATAAACTTTTTACTTCTTTTTTTATTTATAAATATATTTTCACTAAATTAAAATTGTATATACATAAATTGTTTTACTGCGCCATACCATAATTGGAACATCATTAGTGTTAGATGTTGATGAATCATATATAATATCATATCACACCCAAAATAAAAAAAAATCGTTTTTTTTTTTTTTACCAAACCTTTACCTTCCTTCTCACCCTTTTTAATTGAGATTAGGTCATAATTTCTTTTCTTCTTTATCTATTTTCTACAAATAATATCTACCCTCAATTTATAATGGCAACCAGGGTTTACATTGGTCGTCTTGCAAGAGATGCCCGTGAACGGGATGTTGAAAAACTCTTTCGTAATTACGGCACCATCAGAGAAATAAAATTGATGAACGGTTTTGGTTTTGTTGAGTTTCGAGACCACCGTGATGCTGATGATGTTGTTTATGCTTTTAATGGAAAGAGTTTTATGGGTGAAAAGTATGAGTCTTTTTTAATTTTATTCGCTTTTACTCGTCGTTTTTGTTTTATAATAAGTATAATGTAGATTTCTTTTTTTCATATTTAATATTTGCTTTTTTTTTAAAAAAAAAAAAATTTTTTTCAAATAGGTTAATTGTTGAATACGCTAGAGGAGAACGTAGACGTCGTGACCGGGATGATCGCAGAGATAGAGACAGGGACGACCGCAGGGATAGGGACAGGGATAGGGATGATCGTCGCCGGGACGACCGCGACCGCGATCGTGGCAGGCACGTTGCAACACAGTCCTGGAAACTTTTATTCCTTTTCCCCATTCCTTGAATTTCTTTATGCATTGATTATTATCTTTTTTATTTTTTTTTTCCACTTCACATGTATCATCAGCTGAATGAGTTGTATATCTTTTTCTTCAATCCTATAGTCGGTTCGCTCCTCCGCAAAGAAATCCTCAATATCGATTAATTGTGGAAAATTTGTCATCAAGCTGTAGCTGGCAGGTATGCAACTATGTTCCAAAAATCCATACATTTGCCGCCTGCAGCTCTCGCTATTTGGCTGGCCTTCTGGTCCCCTTCTCTTATGTCCCTGGTGTTCTACTATTTTGATTTGGCCTTTGGTTTTACTCTTCTTTCTCGCGTGGTTGCTTGTTCGCTTGTTTTGGCTTTTTTTTTTTTTGATTCTTTATTCTTGAAAGTCTTATTATATCCCAAATGAATCCCTAAATATATTTTTAAAGGGGTGATCGCTACTGTGAGACTGAGATAAAATGGTCAAAATAATTAAAAAGGGGACAAATCTGGGAACCGGCCAACGTTTATCTTCCATGCTTCGGAATAGAAATAGTCCAAATTAAATTAGAAATTGTTGTTTCTTATGCCTGGAAGGAAGAGAGTAATCTCAAAGTATCAATAAGGCCACTCCTTAATCTGGCTCTATTGGATCCTAGTATTTTGGTTACCTTTACTGCCTTCTTTGGATATGCCGACTCTTGTTCCTTCCATTGGCATATTTATTTTGGTTCTTCATATGTGGAATTACAAGAGCCCTAGAGGATCTTTGAAGCGCAACGTCCGTTTACCATAACTCAATTCAAACCCTACTTCCCCTCCTCCTCTATCTACCATTCTTTTACTAAAGGATCTGAAGGACCTAATGCGAAAAGCAGGTGAAGTGACTTTTGCCGATTGCCATAAAGACCGCGATGGGGAAGGGTATGAAGAAAATTTTATGCAAAAAATTGGTTTATTTATATTTATTCAATATCTCAAAGCCAATTATTATTTAACAACTACAATTCAGTGTGGTTGAATTTTCCTCGTACGAAGATATGAAGAATGCAATTAGAAAGCTTGATGATACGGAACTGAAAGGCAAACGCATCATTCTTCGTGAAGCTCCGGTAAATATAATTGATTAATTTTTTTTTTTATTTTATTACAAAACAAATTCCTTTTAATATAAATTAATTGAAAATTTATTTTAATTATATAGGATAATGATATTGACCGTGAACGTGAACGCGATCGTCGTCGTCGTTCTCGATCTCCTCGTTCTCGATCTCCACGCCGTAACTCTCGTAGATCAATGTCTCATTCTCCTCGTAGAAGTTCTCGTCGCTCTCGTTCGAGATCTAAGACTCCTACTAATGGTAATGACGCCTCTCGCTCAGTTTCGCCTCGCCGTTCTCGCAGCCCAAAAAGAAGTCGTTCCCCAAGTGTTAAACTTGAACGTGTTGATGACAAGTAAGAGTGTTTTGTTCTTATTGAATTTATTATTTATATATTCGGCTTAATGTTAAGCTTTCTTGATACATTTTACTGATGATTTTTGTATTGATGTTCAGGGAGATGAAAGAAGATTGAATTCAATTCAATAATAATCAATGTGATCTTACAAAAAAGGTCACTTACAATCAGGAACTATAAAATAATGTCAATTTTTTTTTTCGTAGTGTTTTCTTTATTTGATTCATTATCATGTTTTTATTTCATTATTTTATGTCAGTCATTTTTATGTTTTTGTTAGATGATGCAAAAAGAAAAAAAATTTTTTTTTTATTCTGTACTTTTTCCCCCTCCAAATATTTTATAAATAATACATTATTTTATTTACCCCAAATTTTTCTAATATGATGTGCCAAATAAAAGTACAATGTTACGTAATGGTGTCACATGATTTTTGGATCTTCGTTCCATAGTGGCTTATTATATGTCAGAAGGACTTCAATATATATGCTTTCAGTGACCGAATACGTTTTTACGAATTTCTAAATTGCCGTTAATGACTATTGTATGTATGTTCTTGTATTTTATGCACATATTTTGAAAAAATTAGAAATTTAGTGGAAGTACAAATAACTTTATACTTTAGATTGAGTATAAAAGCAAAAGTCAAAAGTTCTTTTTTTTAAATTTGAGAGACACATAAATCAACAAGAAGATTTACGAATATATACTAGCAAATGCTTACAGCCACAAAGCCTTCTTCTCTTGTAAGTCAGGAGATTTATACATCTACTACAACTTCAACATCGTCTTCGAATTCACCAACTAATGGAGAAAGCAGTGTCAATAGCAATAATAACTTGACGGAATTCCTTACCACCACCACTTCAACGACACCACCTTCTTATTCTTTGTTATACTGTTGGACAATATTATGCACTTATATAGCAAGTATATTCAACAAATCAACTGCACGGCTGCGAAGGATTTCCACCAGCGAACATGCATATATCGCACAAGCTTCAGTTTCGCCGGATACTAACAATAACATTAATAATAATACCAGCAATAATAATTCACAGCAACAACCACTTCGTCGTTCCCCGCGATTCAAATCAAAAAAACAATTGCAACAACAGATCGCATCATCATCGTCTATTGATAATATATCGTCACTTAAAGCTGCCAATTCATCGATTCGTTTGAAAAATAGCACAAAACCAATTCATCAATCCTCTCTGACATCAACACCATCATTTTCCTCTATGATGAAGTCGAAGACACTTATATTGGATTTGGATGAGACCTTAATACATTCAACATCAAGGGGATCACGATCCGACGCACATATGATTGAAGTTATGGTAGACAATCACGCTTGTTTATATTATGTGTATAAGAGACCACATGTGGATCACTTTTTGAAGAAGGTATTTGTAATGTTAAATTTGAATAATGATACATTTAAATTATTTTTTAAAGTAATTTATCCTTTTTTTTTTTGATTAGGTTAGTGAATGGTATAAGGTAGTTATTTTTACCGCTTCTATGCCCGAATATGCTGACCCTGTGATTGATTGGTTGGATCCAAATAAAAGTTTGATCGGTAATCGATATTTTCGACAGGTAAAATATATTTTCCTTTTTTTAAAAAAAATTCTCATTTAAACGTTTATGAAATAAGTATAATCCATATTATAATTTTTTATCGAAATCAGTCTTGTACTAATCGAAGTGGAGCTTACATTAAGGATTTAACAATCGTTGAACCAGACCTTTCAAAAGTTTGTTTGGTCGACAATTCACCTATATCGTATGCTATGCACCAAGGTAATAATAATATAATGAAAAAAAAAATAAAATAAAAATTTTTATAATGAATTAATGTTTACTTGTAAATTTGTATTAGAAAACGGAATAGCAATTGAAGGCTGGATTAGTGATCCTCATGATGAAGCTTTGTTAGATCTTTTACCATTCTTAGATGCATTGAGATTTACCGAGGACGTAAGATCTATATTGTCCTTAGCGACTTATTGAGATTATAAATAAAATAAAAATAAAAAAAAATAAAATAAAATAAACAATATTTTGGGACATTATTTCTGTAAATTTTTTACAAAAAAAACAAATTCTTATTTCAATAATCGCAAATATATGTAGTAAACAAAAAAAAAGAAAAAAAATTTTATTAATAAGTATTTTTTTTATTTTAAATGAAATTATCGTCGTGATCGACTTTCTAAATATCAATTTCTTATTAAATTTAGGAAAATTTTAATAGAAAGAAATAATGATTTAAATCAATGATTATCGATCAAATATTGATCAAATAATAGTAACGAGATTAAAATAATAATAATAATAATAATAATAATAATAATAATTTTTTTCTTTATTAAATTAATTTTCCATTATTATATATATAAATATAAATTTATTTAATATTAAATATTTTTTTAAACACGTGGCTTTTAAATTTTTTTTTTTATTCCATGAAATTTAAAAAAAAGTTCAGGATAATAATAAAATGAAATGTTGTAGGTAGTTAATTATTATTGTTAAAAACAAGATACCGGTGAAACTCATCAACAAGCAATAGTGATTATTTAAATTAATAGTCAATTACTTGTACTCAACTTTTAAATAGTATACAAGGTGTTATATAGGGTAATTAAATTGGGGAAACCGGAGTGATTGTATAAATTCACTGTTGTAGTAATTATCTACAAACTTAGAAAAATTTATAAGAGTTTAAAGGTGAATTAATTCTCAAAAAAAAGAAACTTCAGGAGCTACTCGCCCGCTCACAAATAATAGATTCAGGGTATTAAAAAAAGGCAAGCAAGCAGGGCCAGCCCACTACGGTCCTCCCATTCTTGAAAAAACGACCCATTATAAAATAAAAATAAATGAAAATATAAAAAGTAGTAGTATGATAAACTATTAAATATAAATATATATCTGTATATATATTATCTAAACTTAATGGCCACTTAATAACTGCTTTACGTTTTTTGGAGTAGAATCATCATTTAAATGTTTGGTATTATAACGCAAAGCAGACATTAAATTTGTGTATTCATTTATACCATGGGTTTGAATTGCTTTTACTGATGATTTTATCTTTTTGTTTTTGTTTTTTTTTTTTTTTTGAAGAAAAATGATAACAATAATTAATTTAATAAACAAAATTTCTAAAAGAAAAATTTATAATAAATGACTTACATTAATTGGTGATTGTTTATTAAATGCACCTTGCGGATCGATATGATCATATAAAATAATTGAAACCACCATTACTCGTAAACAAAAATCGACCATTTCTGGACGTTGAACCCTCTTCTTTGTAACAGAGTGATAGCATGCTGCCGCCAATCCTGATAGACATTCCGATACACTTTTTCCAAGGTTATTCTATAATGACAATCCAAATTAATGATATTAATGAAACTAGCCGCCTTCATCTAGTGTCGATGAACATTTTATAATATTACCTTATCAACAAAACCTGCGGTTACATCTGTAACTTTCTTCAACATTGTCGTGGGATATGCATAAAATAAGGAAATTTGGGTTGCCAATTCGTCCTCGATCATTGCGGTTTTTAAATCCGTCTGATGATTATTATTAATCTTAGTTCAAAAATTCAGAATGAAATTTATTTCATAATGTACAATATTAATTTAAATAAATAGAAAACAAACTTCATTTGCAAGTTTTCCTCGACTCAGTGTTCGTCGATAATATGAAAAATCATTTTGAATTGATGGTGTTCTCATCTAAATTATATTAATAGAAAGGTCAGAATACTTTTAAATCAAATTATTTATTTATGTTTCCCCCTTAAGAAAATGTGTGAATTCTACAACCTTCAAATAATCAAATTCAAAGGCAAAATCCAGTATATCTGCCAATAATTTTGTAAGTGCCTGAAATTTTTCGATATTTTTTCGAACATTTCCTTCACAAAAAGCATTTAATAATTCAGGAAGAGCACCCTCTAAAAATAAATAAATAAGATATTATAAATAAAAAAATATATATATACATTTGAAAGAACCAATATTAATTAATACCTAATGAAACAGAATACTCGTAATATTGTTTTAGTTTTGCAACTGCAGGTTGTACGGCTTTCCAAGCTTCTTCTTCATTTTCGGGTGTAGGGTTTGATATTGCTTTTCTAATTAGTTCTCCGCAGCCTTGATAATTCCGTAAAGAATTTAAAAGAGTATCGGTCGGTTGGAGAAGGGAAGAAACACGTTTATGAAGATCAAATTCCTCTTGAGTTGGTGTGGCATCTGAAATAAATAAAATTCATAATACGTAAGAAATTAAATCCATTAAATTTACACATTAAGACAAGGTCTAAAAATAATATATTTTTTTTTTCAATTTTCTTCATGCCCAAAACGTTCTAATATATATATAATAGACATGTTCATTGCTATCTATAAGTAAATACGCACGGGTTTTAAGGAGCAAATAGTTACTGGTGAAATATATGGATTTTCCGAATTCTCCATATAAGCTAAAGTTTCGTTTATTTCTAAAAAACTAAGCACCAGTAACAAAGTTTCTTTTAGTCACCTTTTGCGTTTGATACTTGTTGGATTTCACTTAGTATTGACCCATTGCTTTTTTAAAAACCATTACTTACTTTCGAGGTCAAGGTTCAAATCTGGTACTAACGAGTCATTCCCCTTGCTGAAACTTGATAATATAGAGCCCATATTTTTAAGTGATTTGTGTAAAAAAAAGTTCTTATTCTTTAATTAAAAAAAAAAATTATTTTAGATGCAGACGGAAAAAAGTTGGAAAACGGGCTTAATGGGGGAATAATGATTCTGCCTGATTCGTCGGTTATAGGGTTGAAAGCTTCCAAATAACACTACCAGGTGCTATAAATATATTCCTCTACGTTTAAGGGAAAAAAAGTTTTTAGGTGTGGTTTTGGCCAGTCAGATGGTATTGAAGGCCTAAAACAAATTGAACGTCGTTAAACGTACCACCGAAAAGATTTATTCCGGCAAATATTGGAAAAATAAAAATTTTATAAGTTTTTAAAAGGTCGTGGAAGGATATAACCAGATTAAATTAGAAGGAGTGGGTATGAATTATGGCAACCAAGGGGAAAAGGAAATTGTGTCTTCCTCAGGGAAGAAATTTTTCTAACAGAAATACAGTTATGCTTAGAGTGGAACACAAATGCTCGGCATAAAACCACTCCTTTTATCATGTTTTACATTGGGAACACAAAATTTAATATCATGCTTGTATAAAAAGCATAAAAAGTTTAACTGGTAATCAAAGGCGCAGTATAGATACAACAATTTTATTGGTCGTTAACAAATTAAGGTTAATGTTTAGTTTAATCCTAAAGTAGTTTACTTAAAACTAAAAGCTAAATTGAAAATTTTTTTTATTAATATAAAAGTACAAGTAGTAATATTATAATCCAATCTTGCGATTTATATCCATACCTAATAATTTACTCGTGTATGTTGTATGTTTTATATATATTTATTTATATATAATATATATATACATATATTTAAAAAAAACCACTTACCTGCCCAGTTTATCTGTGATTCTTTTCTTCTTCACTTTCTTGATCATCATCGCTTCCATATGCAGCCAATTCTGTGAGCGCTTCGGTTGTAGTTTTGCTTGGGGTATTATAATTTGTTAAATTAAGTCCCTGTGAAAGCACTTTTAAACTTTCTAAAGTTTCATTAGATACAATTGATTTGCTTTTTAGGGATGAAGTTGAATCCGAATCGTTATTAACCAATTGTAAATTTTCTGGTTGATGTCCAACATATTGCTGGTCATCACAAGTTTCTAATCCATCCGAATTTTGAAATTCCTCAGAAGCTAAAGACTCCTGATTAATATTATCGTCTATTCGAGGACGTTTACTAATAAAATCAGTATTTGCTAATGTAAACTCGGCAGGAAGATTTTTTATTATTGCTTGTGCTGCCATGGCTTCTGCTTTTCTCTTAAATTCTGCTTTAGCTCGAGGATTAGGGTCATCTGTAGCCCATCTATCAAAATAAATCATTTATTATGATTATTTCATTAAATGATAATTTTTATATTAATGAAATAACTTACCTTACATTGAGCACCTAATCGAATCATTCGATTAAAATTGTTATATTATTCATATCCTGTATAACCACAATAAAATTTAATAACCTCTTTTCTCACCTCATTTCTATCTAAACTCTGATTGCTCATTGCCTCTTTCGCAAATTCAGCATTAAGAGAACTATAATATGTCACAAAGGCAACTCCTTTATCTTTAAGTATTTTGACTAAAAATAGTAATTTAATCTAATTAGTTAATTGCTGAAACTGAAAAGTAAAAGTAAAAAAAAAAAAAAAAAAAAAAAAAAAATTTTGTCAAATTACTTTTTTCGATTTCTCCCCATTCTTCAAAATGCTTTCGTACAATTACCTATTTGTTTTTTTAATATACAAAAAAGAATATTTAACCATAATAATACAATAAGAGATAGAAAAAATGGTAATAATTAAAAATTATGATAAGGGGCAACATTTCCTTTCACCTCCATGTCAGGGCATATTGTCACGTGACCGACATAAAGTGTCCTGTTCTCTCTATTAAAAGAACCAATGCCACCCATATCTTCTCGATATTCACTAAATTTATCTCGTCCAAAAGAATCGATAGTCGTATCAACTGGATCTGATTCGGTTGGTATTCTATGCCAATAATTACATTCATGCCTATTAGGAAGATTAGGAGTTTAAGAACTTGAAAGTTGCCAAAAATTTAACAGATCATAGATTTTGAGAATTTACCCAAATGGACAACACCCCCTCGCAAAATAAAGGCAAAAATATGTATCAGGAATTTTGTCACCTTTCGTCTCTCCAGCGTCAAGTTTTATGTTACAACGAGTTGTTGCTTTTTCTCTAATAAAAGAAAGTTAAAGTTTTGAAACCTCAAAAAAGTCCATATATTTAATTACTCTTACCTTGTAAACTTCGACACCTTTTCTCCTCCGGACCATTTATTATACCAGATATTGTAAAAAGTTCCTGATCGATCAGCAGAAGCAACTTTATTCGGCCCTACTTTAAGAACGGATTCGTCTACCTGTAAAATCGAGTAATTGGAATGAAGTTTGTATAAACGTATATTCTTGTATTTAAAAAAAAAATGCGTACCTGTTTCCTTGCTGGTTTCATGCTGAAAAAGTTTAAATTTGGAGGAGACACAAATTTGATATTCCCAAATATTTTTTTTTTTTTTATGCATAAAATATAAGCCAATGATTATCCAAGTACAAATCAACAAACAAATATTTGATTATCTATAATTTTTTTTTTTCTCTCAAGAAATTTTTGATATGGCAAAAAACAGAAAAGCAACCAAAAAATTTCAAAAAAAGCAATTAAAACCAACAATAGAGAAACGACGTAAAGTACAGAAATTTAAAAAAAGTGTTGATAGACGACAATTCAAGAAAAAATTATCAGGAAACGATACAACCAAAAATACCAATAACAAAAAGGAATCTGAATTGTCCGAGAAATTGCAAACTGAACAAAAACTTTCTGATAGCGATGATGAGTTAGGGTAAAGATTACCATCATTTTAATTAAATTTAAACTTTAACAAGACTATTGACAATTATTAATACTAGGTTAAAGGAAATTAATGATCTCGCACTATCAGATTCAAGTGAAGAAACTTCAGAGGAGGATGATATTGAGAACTTTCAAATAAGTGATGGAAGCGAAGATGATGGAAGCGAAGAAAGTGATGTAATTAAGGATCAAAATAATAATAGACAACCCAAATCTCATCAACAAAAAAAACAAAAGCAATCTGTACAAAAAGATGTTTTCGAACTTAAGAAACAACTTGAGGAATTGAAAGATAAAGATCCAGAATTTCATAAATATTTAATAGAAAATGATCAAGAGTTAATAGAATTCGATGTATCAGATTTCGATTCAGACTCAGGAAGTGAAAAGGACTATAGTGATGAAGATGACATTGAGGAAAATAATGTTGATATTAAGAAATCTGAAAGTAATAATATGGAACTCGATAGCGAAAATGAGGTAGATTATACTGTCAACTTTGGCATGAACTTGATATACTTTTGAGTATTTATAGTATTTATATGTTTTTATGCGATAATAAATCATCAGGGTGATGAGGAAGAGGAAAAAGCAGCTTTGAGAGAAGCTGGACTAGATGATGATTATGATGAAAGTGTTCCGGAATTAACGTCTGAAATGATCAATAAATGGATACTTTCTATGACTGAGGTATGAATTTATGAAATCTACAAATTTTTGTAATGATTAATATATATTGTAACATCTCATATAAATAAATATATTTCAGAGTAATGCCTTGAGCGCTACGCATGAATTAGTTTTGGCTTTTCGTGCAGCAGCACACATTAATGAAGATGAATCCGTTCAATCTTTTTCATATAGAATATCTGATCCATTAGGTATTTGGTAAATTTTTGATGTATCATATTATTAAATTATAAGAAATATGTTAAAATAAAATGCTTATTATTTATTATTTTAGTATTTAATAACCTCATGGTAGTTGGTTTAAAGCATATTCCCGACGTTTTTGATCATCATTTGGGTGCAAAAGGTTCCGATGCAAGAAATCCGTAAGTTTAGTTCTTTAACCCCCCCCCAACAATTTCATATTCTAAATAATTTGATGTTTATTACTATAGAAAGTTGATCTGTGCGCATCGAAAGTGGAAATCGATTCAAAATTTAGTGAAGTCTTTCTTAAATAGTGTTATTTATATACTTAAACAATTAACAGAGAAGGATACATTATTTTTTATCATCAAAGAATCAGAAAAGTTAATTCCCTATTACTCGTGTTTTCCAAAATTGGCTGGTCAATACTTAAAGGTCTTATTACAACATTGGGGAACTTCAGAAGACAAAGTTCGAGTTGTAGCTTTTATTAATATTCGAAAGCTTGCGTTAACCGCACCATCTCCATTTATCGATCTCTGTCTCAAGGTAATACAGATCAAGGGAATTACGCGTTACTTTATTAAAATTACTAAAATTTTATTCTACTAGGGCATTTATTCGACATTTGTTCAATTTTGTAAAGAAACTTCTGTATTTACAATATCTTCCATTAACCTCATGAGTAATTGCGCGGTTGAAATTTATGGGCTCGATTTTAAAAGGTCCTATCAATCTGCCTTTGGGTATATAAGACAATTGGCTATTCATCTTAGAAATTCTATGAATATGAAAAGTGAGGTAAATATTAGGGAAGAAATTTTTTGTAATATTTTCAATTTATTCTTATGAATTTCTTTGAATAATTTAGGAAACGTTTAGTGCGGTGTATAACTGGCAATATATACATTGTATAGAACTTTGGTCCAAAGTATTGGCAACATATTGCGACGAACAAAGTGTTGCAACAACTGGAAAAAGTCCTTTACAAGATTTAATATATCCATTTGTCCAAGTCTGCATTGGAGTAATAAAATTAAATCCATCTGCTCAGTATTTCCCACTTCAATTTCATTGTATGCGCGCATTGATACATTTAACGCAAAAGACCGGAACTTTTATACCGCTTGCACCTTACCTTTTTGAAATTTTGCATTCTGCTGAAGTTTGCAGAAATGCAAAACCTTCTACATCGAAACCTTTAGATTTTACAATATGTTTGAAAGCACCAAAAAGCTATCTACGTACAACCGTATATCAGGTATTTTGACTTGAGAATTATGTTATTAAAGAATTTGCATGGGTAAATAATAACTTTTACGCGTTTATTTGTTGACAGGATGGAGTATGTGAGGAACTTACAGAACTTTTATTAGAATATTACGCAAGTTTTTGTTTATCAATAGCGTTCCCAGAATTAATAATACCAGCTGTCTCTCAAGTATGTTTATATTCAAATTATTTAAATGCTTTTATATCTTGTCGCTTTATTATAAGCATTATATCGATTGAATTTATATAGATTAAACGGTTTATTAAAGTTTCAAAAAATTTCAAAACCAATAAAAAGTTCCAACAATTAGTTCTAAAGGTATATTGAAATTTTTTTTTTTTTTTTTTTTTGTTAATATTACTAATTCTATATTTAAATAGTTGGAAGAAAATGGAAAATTTATTGAGCGACATCGAAAAAATGTTGAATTTGGGCCCGGGGATATCGAGAAAGCGGTACGCATTTATTTAAATTTCAAAATTCAAAGGTTTTATTATTTACTTATTTTATTTGTTAAATATGAAATAGAAATCATTTTTAAGAGATGTTAGTAAGGATTCGACACCTCTTGGATCATATGCTAATACACTTAAGAAATTAAAAGAACAACGAAGAAAATTAATGGAAACAAACTAAAATACAATGCTCCTACATTCATAATTGTCTACTTTTTTCATCTAAATATTAACTTTTTAATGTAATATTATTGTAAAAATTTGATCAAAATTCTTCATTACTTAAAAAGAATTTCAATAATTAGAAGTGTTACTAGTAAAATCACATTATAGATCATATGATTTACAATATTTTACTAGCAACATTTTCATATAGTATTATTTATAATGAAGAAGTGAATATGTTAAATTCATATAGAATTTGAGATATGAATTGCATAAAACAAGTTAAATTCAAGAATTTTATACTCCAATTAGAATGATTTGATTTAAACATTATAAAAATGATTATTATAAATTAAAAAGAGAATGTGATATTATTTAAAGACCAATTATTTTCATAATAAATTATAAAATTTATTATATTAATATTAAAATACTATTTTTTAAAGATTTGAATTTATTTTTTATAAAAATTTTACTAGCATAAGTATATAATTAAACACGTGAAATTAATTGATTTTTTTATTTGTATATTATATTTATAATTAATTTTTAAATATGAATTAATATTACAAATTATATAAATATTGTTATAAAAAAAATATAAAATATTTATAATCTATATATTAGCTTTTGTTTTTTTTCAATTAATAAAATTTATAATATAATTTAAAGAAATAAAATACTAATAAATAATTAATAATATTAGTAAAAATAAAGAATATATATATTATTTGTTTAAATAACGTATTATACTAATACTTAAAAAAAAAACCTTTCAAATTCTTATTTTACATTTTTTGAAAATAATTCTTTTATTACTAATTATTTTATATAATAGGTATAACGTATGAGACATAGTAGAGAGGACAAGCCTCAAAAAAAATTTGGACAAAAGAAAACATCTGAAAAATATTCATTCTTTTTTTTTCATTAACGATTCTTTATCATCGAATACTATATTACATTTAAACGTAAATTTTTATAGGAAATCCCAAAAAATGAAATACTTTCCGTTCGAAACCAAATAGATAATATAAAATTTTTTGCCACATTAATGGTTGTTAAGCAGCTAACAGAAAAAAGCGTAAGAACCAATATATTCGAATATATACAATTTCATATTATTTAGAAACGAACTGTTCGGTAATAACGGCCCGAAAACATTTTTCAGCAAAGGAATAATTTATTAAATAACTGCGCCTTTCTTATATGTTTTCATTCGCCACGCAATTTTTTTTTTCGGCCGGCAGTTTATTTTACATTAAGGCTTTTTTTAACCACTTCGAATGTTTTCAAAAATTTATTTCTAGCTCCAATTGTATTTACTCCTAATTTTTGTAATTTTTCACCATCAAAATGAATTATTTCTTGCCATTTCATTCCATTGAAACAATTTTTATATTTTTGTAGCCTAAGGCCTGACAACCATTGAGGAAAATCTAAAAAAATTATAAAAGACTTTACCATTTTTTTTTCATTTTTAAGAAAAAAACTTTAACTATTACATTACTAACCTTCTAATAAACTTTTACTAGCATTAACATAATTTTCCTCAAAATTTATTCTATAACGTTGACTCTTTCCTTCTTTATACCTTATATCCGCATCTTTTCCATCAGGTCCCAAAGGTTGTTTTGGTCTTATCGCTGGGTTACCTTTACCTATATTATCATAAGGTTTGTGAAATCTATCGTCTTTATAGTAAGTTGTAAATTTTGTTGCATATTGCTGTGTAGAAATAAAAAAGTATGGAATCTTAGGTGACAACTTTGTGGAGGAATATAATAAGGATAAATTTTTAGAAGAAAAATGTAATAAATCAAGAGAACGATAGATTGATGACAAAATTGTTTTTGACATTTTACCAATTTTGATACATAAAAAAAACTAAAAAAACAAAAAAAAAATTTGTCCCGTAAGCCACTAAATGATTAGATACATTATTGATTATCTTACGCCACATTACGTAACATTTTTATTTTTTTTATTGGCGATTCAATTTTTTCCATTCATATAAAAATGTCTCTTATTCGTAGAGCACTTACATTAAAATCTTTTTCAAATCATATTACTAAATCAATAACATCACTTCTTCGCTTAACCTCTCCGACATCTCTTACTATAAATTCTCTCCAATTTTCAATTAGACATTATGTCATAGAAAGTACGAATCGTGTAACTTCTACTAAAGAAAATTCGGGTCATGTAACCAATGATGCCTTTACTAAAGAACATGTTACTAATGATTTTCCTACCATTCCTAAGGGAAAGGTTGCATTTTGTTTAGCAGAAATAGATAAGTCGGAGCTAAAAGTGTCAAGACCTACTACAAAATGGAGAATAGTACGCAAAAGAATTTATGTAGAGAATAGAAAAAGATCATTTATTAAAAAGAATATAGTTGATCAGGTTAATTTTGAAGCATTGGAAGGTATGATTAATTGATTACGTTTTATTTTGGATATTTAATTTATTATTTACACTATTGCATTGAAACATTAAGATTTCAATGAATGGCTTAGAAAGCTTCGATTTAAAAAATGGGCTTGGGTATTTGAAGGAATGAAATGGCAGGATATAATTCAATTAAATGATACGCAATTAATGGAAAAAGGTCTCACAACTTTTATTGTTAGAACTGAATTACTTTACTATTTTAATATTATTAAAACAGCCAAGGTAATTTATTTTTTTCATTCTACTGTTTATTACCTTATTTTTTGATTTTGATTTATTGTATTTATAGGCTAATGAAAGATCAAAGGTTATTACTGATTCATCACAATAATGATATGAGAGTTATCCTTACTTTCAACTCATCCAAAAAAGAAGCCATTTGTAAGAGTAATATACAATTTTCATGTTTTTAAAATAATGTTCGTCTTTACGAAAGAGAATATAGATTAAGAAATTCATTAGAAATCATAATAAAAATCATTTTCTTTTTTTCAATTATTATCTTTGAAATAAGTTTTATAAGTTGTTTACTTGTGCTTTGCCAACTAAAATGACGGTATAAAATAGTTTAAGTCTTCAATCGGTGCCATAAACACTGGTTAATAAATATAGTTATTAATAATTGGATCGAAATATTCGTGTCAATAGTTTAATTATTTTCTGAATTTTTACTTATCATTAATTTATATTTTTTAATTAATATTGTATTATTTATGCTAATGCTTCAAAATAAACTCCTTTTAAGTTTAGATGTAAATTATATAGATAATTTCTTTGATTAAATATTTATTTGTTTTAATTTAACTAATATATGAATACTTAGAAAAAAAAACCCCATTAAACAAAAAATAAATATATGATTTAAAAATAAAATGATTTTTTTTATATAGTTTTTTTTTATTATTATTACAAGTAATATAAAGTTTGGATATTATTATTATTATTATTGATATATAATTTTGAGGATAAAGCTATGTGATTATATAGAAACATTAGATTATGAAATGAAAGTTAAGTGCAATTCTGATTTTTTCATTGTATAATCTAAAAATTGATTATTATGTGTAACTTATTCTTAAAAGTAAATTTATAATGCCTATTTTGAGATTTAATAAAGAAATTGCTAAAAATGTGAAATCAGAATCCAAAAGATATAACTGTTTATTGTATAATTCTAATAATTAAATTTTATATGTAAATAAAAATAGTATAATATTAATTATTATCAAAAGGTAGATTAAGAATGCTAACTTTGAGTTTATATAAAAAAGACTTCCAAAAAGATAAAATTTATGTATTAATATTAAGCTTAAACCTTATCTATAAAATCTATACCTCTGAAAATTAAGTGTTATGTGTAATTATATTATTTTATAGTAAAACTGCTGAATAATATATTATTATATAATTCAGATAAAATTACTTTAACTTTTAAATCTATCTATAGTTATATTCTATTATAATCACATAAACAGCTTATCCCAAATGTGTGACTATAAAGAGAGTTGACTGTAAATTTAAGTGTTACATTTATTTATAATACTTAATTTAAAGTTTATACTATTTATTCTTAGTATATTTCTTTTAATATATCCATTAACTTACTATTAGATTTAGATCAAATAAACTTTTTTACTAGAAAAACTTTATAAAATCCATTATTATTAGTTTTGAAGACATTATAAATTTAATTAAATTAAAATATAGGTTTAAATTTATCATAAAAAAAATTCATTTATTATTTACATTTGATAAAAACAAGTTATCTTTTATAGTAATAAAATAAAAAACCAATCAAAAAAAACTCAAAGGATTGAAATTTATTAATATAAATAATATATAAATATTAGATGTTTTTATAATAAAATATACTTGATCAAGAGCTATTTAAAATTTCAAAGTTCATAATTTCAAAGAGTTATAATCCTGAGATTTATAATTCTAAATAAATATATTCATAAATAATCATAATTTCAAATAGTCATAATTTTCAAATATTATTATTATTGTATTTCTTTAATTACAAATAATTTAAGAAATATGAAAAATATTAAGTATTTTTTAAGAATTTTAATATGAGTTTAATGAATTATATTAAAGATTTTTAATTTTTGCTTTTTATAATTTAGCAAAAATCTTTATCTCATAATTGTTTTAACTTTTTAGTATTATATTGTTACACTAAAAATCATTAGGATGATCTTCCTAATGTAGATCCTTAGAAAACTATGTTAACTTTGTTAATTTCGTTTACGTCGTCTAGCTCGTTTACATAGTTTATTTAGTTTATTTAGTTAACTTATTTTATTTATTTTATTTTTTTTACTTAGTTTATTTATTTTATTTATTTTATTTCTTTTACATTGTTAACGATTATATATATTTTATTTTATATAA